CCGCCTACACGTTTCCCCCCCACCCCACGCCACCCTTTTCACGCCACCGCCGACCCCCGCTGCTGCCCGCAGCTTCTCACTCGGAAACGTTGGGGCCATCAGATGCGTTAATTGCAGAAGGAATGTGATTAGTGTGTAATGTCAAAATGATGCATATCTGTATAAATATCGGAAGAGTCATCTTTATTTGCTTGAAATTGTATTACAATTATTTTGTGATGATTAGTGCATTTTTGGTGAATCTCAGGTACATTGAACGACACATTAGTTTTCACAATAATTTCTTTGTATTTAATTTATGATATGAGAAACAATGTGTGTTCGTAAGTTTCTTAGAAATAAATGCGTATATGAAAAATTATTCATTATAAACATTTCATGATATACGGAACTCTTAGTGAAATGTTCAGAATGTGAATTTTCTTTCTCGTGTGAGAAGTAATAACACAATTCTGAATTTTAAAAAAATGTTATTTTAAACAACTTACTTTAGAATCTCAATGCACTGCTCGCTAACTAAAATGTCCAAGTTTTTGAATTTTTGATGAATATGACTACAGTTTGCCCTTCGTAAGGTTCACTATAAATACAAAATTTTGTTATATCAGGATCTATGCGAAAGTACATCTCATGGAAATTATAAAATTGCTTACTGCCACAGACTAAAATATAAATATTATAAATGTATATATCGAATTCAAACTAAACAATTTTCAATCACTTTGTGAATCTACAACGATTTACAACGTGAAAGCATATCTTATTACCTCTTAATATTTCACCAGAATGCTAGTTTACCATAGAAATACGTCCATTAAGAATACGCAAATAATAGACATAAATAAATCAAAATCAATTACATAAAACTCGATAATCCACCCTAGGAAATGTGTTTTTCCAATAATTTTGTCGCAATTTCTAAATGACTTTCAAATATGTCGTGATTATCTTCACAACTGGCACCGTGACAAATACAGTACGTAAGCTACATTTAGGTAACCAACTTCTCCTACAACTGATTCATAGATAAGTTGGAAAAATCTTCTAGAAAACTATGAAGAACATCTTATACACGATTTGCACGATATATTTTGACGAACTATTTCAGAGTTTTAGTGAACGCACTCTTGCATAGGTTTCCAAACCCTACAACGGAAGCCACACTTCGCATGCAAGTGTTCGTCAAAACTGCACAATCGTTTGTCAAAGGGAACCTGTAAATTGGGAATAACTTTGTTATAATGAATTTCCATTAAAATGGTCCTCAATAACTCAGGATTTTTGCACATTCCTCCCCACTTAGAATCGTGAGGTCAATCGAACTGGCTATCCCAGAGTAGAAGAAGCGCCTCGCGCGAAATCACCGGCGCACCATTTCGGCGTGCTCCGACGACGAGGCGGTGGTGCTCTTGCTGGACCTGCGCGCCCGCGTGGCCGTGGAGGAGGTGTGCGCAGAGTCCATCTCGATGGCCTCGGACGGCCGGCGCAGGCGGCGCAGCAGCGCGCAGCCCTTGAGGCGCTCGCGCAGCATGCGCAGCACGCGGCGCTTGCAGCACGTCAGCGAGAATACGCATGCGGCGCGCAGCAGGTCCACGCCGTCCATGGTGGCCTCGTACCAGAAGTAGTGGTTGGTGGCCCACGTGGCGATCTCCACCACCATCTCCAGCACGCCCATCGTGCCCAGAAGGCGCGCGTACAGCAGCATGCTGCGCACACACACACACACAGGGCGAGGGTCGTAATGTACTCATGACTAGAAGGATTTAATTGAATGCAATGTCTTAGTTGTATAGAGAAGGTACTCTAAGGAAGAACCACTTTCACAGGTCGGGAAACAAATGAACGCTACGCAGCGTGATGACATTACTATACCTCAAGCTCAGCACATGGGACGTTCAAGGTGCTGAGTTTGAGGTATACTTTATTATTCTCAAATATGATGTGAATTATCATCAGTTTTTTTTTTCATTCAAGATATATCTAAAGATGAGACGACATCGCGTCTCGAAACGTAGTACCGTTAACAGGTTTTTAATAAAAATTTATGAACATGAATGACTTTAAATCAAAAGTTAATTAATTTAAGATCTAGTCTGTCTAAAACACAAAGAGGTTTTTTATGATAATTCTAAAGAAATCTTCTACAAATCTTCTACATCTTCCACACACATGCCTTAGAAAATAACAGTGAGATGACACATACTCTGTGGTTTTGGTTAAAATACGCTCCAGGTTTTCATATTTTCAATTTTGCCTCATATAGGTAAAATATTATCAGAATCTAAAATGTCAATTGGGTTGGAGTTTTATTGGTGTAGAACCGTGTGGCTCTCTAGCCGAACATTAAAATATTATTATTTAATCAACTTTAAATAATTTAAATCAAAATTATTGTTTGTTTTGTAACTATTTATTTTATAAGAATTCCTTCATTTAAAACATGGATGACATAATATTTCGTAGTTGACCTCCCATCATTGTCTCGAGTAATAACATTGATATTTGGAATTTAAGGCTTATTTTGACGGTTGAATCAATATGATAGTCGCTTTATCATCAAAATCCACAGGTCAGTACTTCACATGCTGTTGATAAATAAACTAACACTACGTTTACACTCTCTACATGAGATATTAGGAAGTATGGTCGATAGTCGTTTCCATTAACGTTTTCTGGACTTTAAAAAACTGTTTACCTTATTCAAGACGTGCATTGTGCAGCCTTCTATTCGCCTCACGTTTCTTGATCGCAATTAAGTTTTAATTTCCGTGGTTTCAGCCATCAACACACTTAAAAAAGTATTTGTAATACCACCGCACCTTTTTTTAAGACGTCCATAGCTTACGTAGTAAATGCTGCAAGTAAAGATTAAACCACGACTTCGTCCAAAAATCTAGTCCCGTTCAGACACAACGTTTGAATAATGCGTTTTGTTTGGAGAGGGAAATCGACAGATGAAATGGATTAGAACTGCATAATTTATACGCATGGTTGCAGTATTTAGCATTATTAATTATTCAGTGTTCATTCAGCTGTATTCTCAGTGGATAACGAGGGAAACATCAGCTGAACTGCTATTTGATATAGAAGACACTACCTCTCTCCGCCGACCCTATTCGCAATTCCTATTTTAATAACTAAATGCCACTTTAAGATGTAAATCGCACAATCGTAAAAAATATTGGTGACCCGTAAGAAAATAGTGAAATAATACATAATACAAAGCTGTTCAATAATATTAATTATAAATTTCGACTTGTATGAAATATTTTCAACGTCGAACGTACGATGCTCCAATGCTAGGATAAAGATAAGAATTACTTCAAAATATCTCATGTGGTGAATCCATTGTTATATTTATTGTTTTGGTTCACGCATTATAACTTTTATTGTGTTTAATAGAAGTGATGAGTATTAATTTGCACTTTTAGAACTAAAATATTAAAGTAATCCTTCGCAAAGTAAAAGGCTATTGTCAAATGATGCCCACTGTGGTCAGGAAATACTATTGAAATTATTGAACTTTCTTTGACTCAAAATGTTGAATGAAGGGATATGTTGTTGTTGCTATTGTAATTGTCAATTATATTTAATAAAGATATAGCTCTGAAATTACTGTAGTTGTATGTATCATCTACCTTTTGGTGTTTGTTGCCGAATTGCCATTTTGATTCTCCATGTCTGGTGCATCGGTCCTCGACACTTTTTTCCCTCGCGTCTTCTCTCCCTCTTCAGTTTTCATGCTCTTGGTTCGGTACTTCGTAATCATCCTACTTGCTCTTCGCAATTCGAATACTTTTGTTGATGTGAAAATGAACATTGCAAAATTCACAATCAACAGGAATGACATGGGAGCGAAATAGTATGCGAAGGACGTGAGTTTTAGAAGACCCTCTGGAAAAAAACATATACATCTTGAAGATTAGTTCTCCATTTTATTTCTAAAGTTTAATTTTATTAACACGTAACAGTGTTTTGTAAAAGAATAATAATCTTCTTTAATTATTTTGCTGAAGTATTGACGATGTATTATCGTTTTAATATAACTACATGGCTAGTAAGCAATGAATTTCACATGCAAATTTCCCAAACGTTAGTAATATACTATTATCTGGTTGTTTATTGTTATAACTAATAAATTTTCTCAATTTCTTTTCGTTGAAAAGTGTCATCAAGTTTTAAAATAGTGTACCAATAATCATCTTAGTATTATTTGCAGTGCAGACAATTGTATTTTCCAAATATAAACTTCAGATTAGAACAATAGTTCATTTTCCAGTTAAATTGTTTACGTAAAATGGGCCTTATCGTAACCATTTTTCAACATTATTTATTACCTAGTTCGTAGTGGCCACTTCGTGTCTCTATCATGGTAGGTTTGTATAAAAAGGGTACAGAGGAATGAGGCAATGCCCGCAAGACGACTACAATTGTAGTGATGATCACTGGGAGCCCCCATGAATATAGAGAGAACCAGATAAAATTTCGTCTTTCCGTTTCGGCACTTCTGGTCGTTCCGTTAGTTCTGGAAGAGAAAACTGAATTAAAAACATACTTTATCGACAATTATCTAAATTAGTAATGGTGTTACTATTGATGTTTACAACAGCAACATTTCTATTAATTTTCTAAGTATTGTAGTTGTTTCAACACACTCTCTGTTTAAATTTAACTTCCATACTGTACCGTCAAATTTTTCCATATTTTTATTCCATGGAACTTAATCTAAATTCGAGATGAACATGTAAAATATGGTAACACTGCGTTAAAATTTAAATCTTCAAATTCAAAATAAAATTCACATGCCTTAAAAATGAATCAATTTCACTTAGTTTAATCAAGAGCACCGTATACTTTGAAAACTAGATGTCAAACTTTTAAAATTCATAGATATAATATTTAATATTTTATATTATATCGAGGACTAGGGTTTCTCGCTATACAAATCAGTGAGTTACATAATAGTTGAGAAGTTGTCGTTTGGGGGCAGAAATAAAGAGTAAAAAAACTGTTTTCTCTTTAGAAGTGATTGTTTGCAAGCTCTCAAAATTGCGCACAAAAGAAGGCGACGCATTAAAATTTTCACTAGAGATTTTAAAGCGTAGAAATAATTTTAGAAAACGTCTTCATTTTACATTGCTTCGTATTTTATTTATGGTGAGAATTTGTATCTCTAAGGTTCAAAATTTGAGCTTGGAACACAAATATTATCCGATTCCGAGACTTCGATTAGACTGTTCTTTTCTGTGATATTTGATAATGCTATGAATGTATTTGTCCTACCTGAATCCAAGTCCAATATTTATACAAATCGAATTCAGCCACAAAGCAGCCGCCCACACAGCGTAGTGTACGATGATATCTGTGAGGATAGCATAAAGTAATTTTATATCAATAAGAAAGAATAAAGGTACTTTTATACAAAACTTCTATAATAATGACATTCATAATACAGCGTTTATTTTCTCTATTAAATTATTAAACTTCCCTTCTGAAACATTATAATATTGTTCATTAATTTTATCGGCAGACATTTAACAAAAACCTTTCTTTGTTATTTTCCCTCATTTAATAATCAACCTATCGCAGACCAAATTTCATGACACTGAATTCTGTCACAATATTTTTAAAATGTAATATAAAAAGTTACAAATTACAGGCCTCTTATTCTGGGTAGAAAATGGTATATGTAGTATTTATTTGGCATTTTGGGTCGATAGTCGGACTTTGCAGGCCAGTTAACGGTGCCCCTCAAGCCTGGGCCTAGTTGAATCCCTATGATTGAGGATTGAATCCCTATGATAGTGACCGGCAACGTAATGCTGTTGAACAAAACACACAAAACTCTTTTTCAAAAAATAGCACGCACATTCTTAAGAACACATGCCCAAAAACAAAAAATAAAATACTTTCAGAGAGCACTGAAATAAATTAAATATTTTAATAAAACAGTCTTCATGTGTACTGCAAAATATATACGAATACACAGTTCAAACTACACACCGAGAATATAAAAAAGCTTCTGATCCATAACGCTACAAGTGAATAGCAAAGTATACCGAACACAGTCATTAATTGAATACTATTTTTAAATAAATAGCGAGTTTCAAATTTGCTTTCAGTAAACTAGGTAAAGAGAATATTGTTTCTAGTCGTAGTAAACAACAGGGTCAAAAATTAAATGTGGCGAGAACTACACAGGGACTGAGTGAAGGAGGGACTCACCAGCGCCCTTGCGGAGCACCACGTACGACCCGTGAGGCACTCCGAAGAAGGTGTGTTTGGCGTTGAACGCGAGCACCACGTTCACCACGAGCAGGGCGGCGGCGTGGCAGAAGAGGGCACGGCCGTGCGTGCCCACGCGCAACTCCGGGCACAGCACGAGCGTGACGAGCGTCGTGGCCAGCAGCAGCGCGGCCGGCACGTGCCACAGCGGCTTCAGCACGCGGTCCCACGGCGACACCTGCCACGCGGAAGAGCGCGGTCAGCAGGCACGCTCTCAAGCGCGGCGCCCGACGCATCTCTGCGGGGACGCGCCATTCTAGGGAAGCGGTGTACGTTCTTTGAAAAAGTAACCAGGTAAATGTAGAGAAGACTGAGCTAATGCCCCATCAAAAATGTTTTGGAGTGTCTGTAGTAGAAGCGAGGGTAATGGAGGTTAAAAAGATACCGGACGAAGCACGTATTATACAACAAACTTTGGAAAGAAGCTCATTTAGAAACAAAGTAATCAAAGAATAAAAATGAAAACTGGAACGAAGTGGCCCTAGTAGAGAAAAAAGAAAAATGAAGGAGTGTTATAAAGAGAGAAAAAGAAAACATCCGAGGAGGAACAACGTAAATTAGAATGCGGTGCATAGCTTGCCTAAACGGAAAGAACAACCGTAATGGTGGAGGCAACAGAAATATTATGAAATTTCATCGTTCATAGTTGAAATTATTGTATTGAATTATCGACCAAAATTTGAAACACGTCTAGTGTTGTTGCTTGTTGTCATTTTAAAGAGGTTGTATGTCTCTGATGTATTGTGAATTCGTAGGTGAAATAGAAATAAATACATACCTCCTCACAAATGACGGACATTTCGAATTTTCCTCCGTAAATCAATTCCTTGCACAACTGTCGGTTCTGGAACGCCTTCCCGGTAGGATATTCCCACCAAAAGCCGTTCAGTAAATCCGGTGGTACGAAAGCTGTCGACGCGAAGTTGTGGAATCCGTTGCACTTCGGCATGCGGTCCTCCAACACACTGTATGCAAGTTGTCTGTTAGCGGTCGAACTCGTGATTAAGTGGGGCTCCCATGTCGAATCGTTCGACTTGATGCATCTCGGTCCCGAGCTGAAATTATAAACATGACCAACGGGACAGCATTTTCTCAAACAAATTATTTTCTTACACGGACAAACTTTAATCACACGACTTCGTGAATGTGCCGCCACATCCGTGCAAAATTCTTCTGGTGCGAATAAGACATGTTTTGTAGCTCCTTCTGCCGATGGTGCATACAGAAGCAGAGATCCGTTTTCGACCAATGAATATCGATCAGTTGCATTCCAGCTGAGTACCATAGTATCCCAGTAGTCACATTTCAGTCGATGACTCTCATTAAAATGAACACTCGAAGAGTCAATATCACTGTAGTCGTCTTCTGAATCCGGGGAAACGGTGGAAAATTTCACTTCCACAGCGTCTGTTACGCATTCACCATGGTCGTTTAGCACTTGTTCACTTGGGCAGCACTTACGCAGAATTCGTCCTTCCGTGGCGGTTGTTAAACATAAAACGAACACCAGTGACAAGAAATTTACGACTAGAGTAGATGTCGCCATCATGACACCCGAAATTAAACGGTCCGAGTCAGAAAACTAAACGTTCAAACAAACTTGACGTAAAAAAAACACTGTAAACTACTCGAACTCTAGGATGCAACACTTGGGCAGGCGGATTCAAACTAACCACATTTCGCGTATATATACGTTCAAAAAGGCAACTACAACTGTTGTGCCGCGCCGCGCCAGTTGCTGCGACCGCTTTCACATCTTGCACGCGACTGCGCGTATGGTAAGTAGCGCGCTCTCTAGCGGGACCCGCCTTCCTGGCCGCGCTTCTCGGGATTCCCCCGGCCGAGACTGGTTTTTCACATGAGTCGAGCAAGAAGAGTTGCTTTGCGAAGGTCAATGTCAGCACACTGCAGCGCCGGTGAATGACGCGTTTGTAGGCGTTGTGAATTCGGGAGGTATGCGATTACGTCACGGAACTGAGGTTTTATGGACGGCAGATGGTTCGGCTTTGTGGCCAGATGACACATACGGTTAGTTTACCGTCAATAAAAACAAGCTCCACCCTGGGTGATACATCACGCAGAGGACAAGGTGTCAACTCATAAAAATGTTTATCGTTCACTTTAAACTTTTTTTGTAAAATAATATCTCCAGAATTAGAATGTTCATATTTTTTTAAATGTGTCGACATCAACCAAAAGCTTTTTGAATAAATGTGTTTTTAATCTCATTATGAACAAATATTTTTGAGTACTGCAATTTTTTTTGTTTGCAAACGTATGTTATACTAGACGAAAAATATATTTCGCAACTTGAAGAAAAATAATGAAAAGAATGTGTCTGTGGATATGCAGTTTCAAATTTCGGAGTTAAATCATCTTGTAAATAAATGAATATTTTCTATGTAAATTATTTTTCACACAAATGAGGTTATTTATAAATTTATTAAGAAATTTCGATACCCGGTGAAATTAAACCCTTTTAGTTATATAACCCTCATTAAAGCAATTTTTTCTTCTAAGCGTTCAACCAACCTAATTATTCAACTGCGAACATACAATAATATATTGTTGCTATTATTATTATTTATAAAATTATTTTATAATAATATGTAAATTCTTAGGGAGTCTTGTAAAAATCGCTGAAATTCTAAAACCATTTACCGTGTATCGAGATAGGTAAAGTTGAATATTCTGATTCTGTTTAGTTAAATTTGTCTATCTCGTTCTTCATTATATTATATTGTTTTAAAAAAGTCAGTTCCAAAGCTAGATGTTTCCTGTACATCTTCACTGCTCCGTGACTTTGTTTAGAAAAGGAAATAATCTATAATGTAATGCAATCAAAATTCAGAATTTCAACGATTTCATTCACTATCAAAACAAAAGAAAAAGTGTGTCTTTGCGTTGTAAATAACTCGAAAACATCAAAAATGCACTTAGTTTGTACGGCGTATTAAGTTATTCAAATTTGTCACTTTCATGTTGTGCTTTCCTGCGTCACAAAAACGTGCGAATATTTTTTTTTATTCAAACAAACTTTTCAAACGTAGTGAAGGACATTCTGTGAAATGCGTCAAACACGAACAAACTGTGACAACAAGAAAGTAATAAAATCCTGTGTGAGTGCTTACAAGCGCGTATTCATGCGTCAGCAATATCCCTGCAGTGCGTTATCGGCGCACGGCGCCTTTCAGAGGGAAGTGAATAGCTCGGCGTGCGGATGCTGCGGCCACGCATCCTGCGGACGGCCGGGGCAGGAGTGCCAGGAGAGATAGCGAGTGGTAATAGCACGCAAGTGCTCACTAAATTCCTCGCGTTCTACGGAATTTATTTATTTTTCGTCGACAACCATTAAAAACCATACGATCATCGTGATCTGCGCGCGTTTTCTTGAATTTCAGAATCTCCTCTCCATATTTTTACTACACGTAGTTCGATGACGAATAAATGTACCAAAAAAGCGTGGTTATCAGATTTGAATTAGACCCGTTCTTTCCTGAGCAATAGAAAACATATTTTCATCAGCAAACGAACAATAGGTTGAATTTTACAGTATTACTAACAACATTGCAACACTCAACCCCGGCTCTACTCCGACTACAAGTAACAAAAGAAGAGCTCAATGAGATGTGCACGTAGTGAAGTTTTTAGGCGTTTTTATAATCTAAAAATTAAAAGAAAACAAAGCTGTCATTCATCAAAAATTTATTTATGTGATTGGTTTGTATTTTCATAGTTAATTTCAATATCCAGAAGACTCTAAAAAACGTCATTTTATTTATCGATTTCGCAACTTTTACCTTCAAAAATAGTTCAAATATGAATAAAGTTGAAAAATGACGAGTAAAAATTATTTTACTCTACAGGAATCAAATAAGTTAATAAATTTATGCCGGTTTCAAACTATTATTTATACAAAAGACTATTTTTATTGTTATTATTGTTATAAGTATCATCATTATTATTATAGTTTTAAAAGTAATTATTTTCTTTATTACTGATTCAAACAATGGAACTTTAACAAGAAATTAATATTTGCTACTAGATTTCACGGCAATAAAAAACGACCACCCATATGACTCTCAACATATATTAATATATGCACAATGATCTCTTTGACATTATTAAAGGTTACATTGCAAAATTGGTATTAAATTGATAAAACAATCATATTCTACTGGCGTTCATTTCTGACATTTATGACTGATATTCGCAGTGAGTGAATCAATATGTGACTTAATATGTTTGTAACAAATAATGTACTTCAGTTTCCGGGTCAATGACCCTCATCTCGATCAGGTTTTTGTCCATTTTTCCTGATGCATTGATAAAAAGGCTGAGATTATCTCTTGTTTGGCTTCTGGACGTAAACGTAGCTTCACCTTTCGCACCACACTTTTGTTGAACTCTCCTTTTGCTTGTAACGGTAAGAGTAAGGGCGAGTTGCTATTTTGTTAGCAATGCAGAAAAATCATAATTACAATTCGTATAACGATGCAAATACGTTTTCTATAACTCAGATACGAAAATGACTACTTTTTAAATATTCCTAATTTTGCAATTTTTAAAAGTTATTTTAAATTTTATATTTATTTATTTATGTTCAACGTTTACTCATCTTTCAACTATTTATAGTTAAAATGACGGGGAGGGATTCTGGAAAACATGCGTAATATTTTCCCCCCACGTCATATACAGTTTTTACTGTTTTTTTTAAACTGAGTAAATCTAAATCTAAATAAAGATACTATTGTTTATTCAATAACAAAACCAATAATTGCAACACATTAGTGATGTTTGCTAAGAAATAGATGACTTATTGCATGAAACCATATCTAGTGTAGAATTACATGGCCTATGTAAAATTTAAAAAAAATATTTGCATAATAAACGATATATATTAACAACAATACTGTAATATAATAAAATATACAAAATATGCAAATATTGTACGGAAAACGGGAGTTAATCAGTCGCGTGCAGTTTCTCGCAAAATAAGAAATACTCTTTTTTGGACAAAGCCCCTTAACAATATCACAAAAACTAATAAAACTATATTGTTACGAATATTGCATCACCTGCCGAATTCGCTGCGCGTGGATTGCGTAGTCTGCCGGTGCCCCTCCCCTTCTCCCGAACTAGACGGTTCCGGACTATTCGCGAGCCGCGGGGAGACGCTGAGAATGTGCCGGGTGCCTGGAGACAAGCGCCGGGCAGGTATAAAAGCGCCGCTGCCGGCGGCCGCGAGTCAGTGAGCAGTCAGTGAGTAAAAGATAGTGAGTAGTGAGAAGTAGCAATCAGGAAATAAGCAGTCAGTCCGTCAGTGTGTCCGAAGTGGAAGCTGTGTTAAAAAGTGTGCATTGCGGTGAACAGTGGTGCAGTGAGTGAATAGCAGTCAGCAGTCTGAAGCCTACAGTGGAAGCTGAGCTGTGAAGTGGGCATCGCGGTAAACAGCAGTGCAGTGAACCCTGGTGTGCGCAGTGAAGTGTGATCTGCGCAAAGAATTGTGGTCTGCGCAGGGGAATTGTGGTCTGTGCAGGGAATTGGGGTCAAGTCCAGTGGACCGTGGCCCGTGCAACGGACTGGCTGATACTGTAGAAGAAGAGAACAGTGTAAATAAATAGTGTGTAAGAAGTGAACTGTGTAAATAAATAATCAAGAGAACGGAGTCGTGTGTAAAGAAAAATAATTAAGTGTAATATATATGTAAATAGACCAAGTAGATTTTAGTGTATAATTGTCCACGAATAAACTTTTTTTGTTTAAAATATTGAGTGGTTTTAATTCACCACGGAGAAACGTTACAATATGTTTATAAATGTACTCTAAAACTTTGTACATTTGTTAGTAGAATGTGCAAAATATAACCCAGGTTAATTACATACTGTAATGTCTCAATAATAGAGATAGATGAGAAGGAACAATCATTATCATAATGCAATATGATGGACGTATGTGTGATCAAGCGCGATTAATTAAAGGTTAAATAAAAGAGTTATAACATTTGAAATATCTTGTTTAAACCGACATTTAAAGTTCCATAAACGGCTTTTTTGAATTGCAACTGCACTTTGCAGTAGCTCGTTTACCTGCTAGGTAACCCCATTCCCTCCTCAATTCTTCCCACCAACAGGAGCAGTTTAAAACCCGCGCCGTTAATCCGCCCCTTTCGCTCGGGGGTGCGGGGTGGGGGTAATCACCACGGTTTCCGCGCGGGGATCAATCATGGAGGGGGCGGGGGCGGGGATGACGGAGCGGGCCCCTGGGAGCGCGCATCGGCCCCCCACTGCGCTGGCGCCCCGCCCGCCGCCCAGCGGAGCCAACTTCTGGCACTGCCCGCGCGGTCGACCGGCCAACCGCCCCGGGACCACCGGCTCGCTCAGGCAGGGCGGAGCAGCTTCGCGCCGCTGGGCGCTTGGTGCCAGAGCAGGAGTGCAGCGCTGCGAATGAGCGCTGTAAGACAGGCGTGTCATGGAGGAACCGGGGGGGGGCGGCAACTGAACATTTCGAATAAGGCCCAGCCACTTGCCTAGGGTTTGGGGGTAGTAAATCTCTCTCTCTCGTCTCTCTCCTCTCTCTCTTCTCTATATATATATATATATATATATATATATATATAATGATAAATTCAAGATATTTCGATTTTACGCTGACAATTTTGGAATTTATATACGGAAATTCGGGGAGGAGGCGTTGAAAACCTTTTGGCAATCCTTTAAATGGTTCAAACTAAAGTCAACAGTAACTATTAATTTATCATTTAAGTTACAA